GGCAAATGCTTTCCACCTCACAAGTCTGTGCTTTTAATTATAAAATTTGGGTACTTTTTGCTCGTGCTCGTACGTGTTTGCCTAGGTTTCTATACACTTATGGACTACGTGGACTCTTGTGAAATACACAGTGGCTTTACATGTAAGATGCGAAGTGAAATCAACGCCTTTGACGTGAAATGTGAAATTGACAACATTCCTTATCATTACCTAAGATATTTTGTGAGAACTGCAATTTGTATTGTTGGAAAGCAAAGTATATGTAATAGATTTTGGAAAGAAGAAAAACATATGTACAACTTTTACATGCGTAAACAAGCTGAAGGAAAATCGACTCTGCTAGTGTGTTTATCCGCATCGCATGTGTCGTGTTTACTCGCCTCGTTACTTGACAAAGCATGCAGTAAAATTAAAGCTTCATTTTTTACCGTAGCACTGCTTTCATTAGCAACTGCAATTCCTAAATATAATGTAAATGAAAAAAACCTGCCCTTAATTAATGATGAATTGTTTTGATAAAATTGAAAACAAATTGTAACAGATTTAAAACAAAATTTTATTTACATGCGGATATTGGATTTCGCTATAGCAGGACTTGTTATCAGTAATTGCCGATATATAGATAGGACTGACGTACAATTAACTACTTCTTCCGTTGTATTTAAAATCAGATTAGACAGCATTTAAAAATTTGTAAGTATTTTAGCTCATCCCTGGCTGTCAAGGCCGATGATTAAATACGCTCTGATTTTTCAGCTCACACAAGAGATTTATAAATTGAAAAAATACTTTTTCGATAAAAGAAAACTGTAGCAGGTTAGTCTGACTTGCAATTCTAAAGAAATCAACCGGGCATTTAAAGTTCCCACGGTACCCTAAGAAATTTAATAAATCACTTCCAAAAACTGCATGCAGTCGCTATGCATCAATGAACACGAAAACAAGAAAAACCTAGCGCCAGTCTGTGAAACATAATGAATTAAAGCTGAATTAAATACTGTTTAATTTACTGTTTAATTCATAATGAATTAAATACTGGTAAATGAAGAAAAGAATTTCATTTAGCCATTTTCCCAGTTGTTATAGAAAAAAAGCAGCAGACTCGAGGGGTCGAAAATTTTTGGCGACTAAAAAAACCTGCTGGTGATTCGGACATAATGACATCACGGATATGTGGCCTGGCCTTCAAGATCCTTTCAAAATGGTGGCTCCCAGTGTGGAACTTTTCACTTCTTTCTCATTGGGATCGCGTCCACTTCAGAAGCTAAAACAACGGTGAGTAACTCAACTCAATGTGTAGTTCCAGAAAATATCCATACCCCTCCCACGGAAGGGATTGGAAATTCCGGGGGGGTGGGGGGACTCAAAGGCCCAGGAATTTCCGGAGCGGGGGAGGGGGGTTGTCTCAATGATTTTTTTTTTCCCAGACTGGTCTTAATTTTCATACAGTTGTACGTAAAGTTTCGTCGTTTGCATTTTACTTCTCGAGTCGCAAACGCAAAAAATAAATCTTGCTAATTTGTATATGTAATAGGACTACATGCTGTCCAATTTGGAAATAATTGGATGAAACAAATTCCGACAACAGCCAAAAATTGGACGAGGCCGCAGACAAGTCCAATTTGGCTGTCAGAGGAATTTTTTTAATCCAATTATTTCCAAATTGGGCAAGCATGTAGTCCTGTTACTTATTAATTATATAGCTCGTGAGGTAATGCAGCTTTGCAAGGAAAACTACATTAACTGAAGAAAAACAGACTGGGCCCTCGATCTTCCGAAACTTGGGAAAGCTTCGAAAATATCTGGTGATCTTCAGAGATCGCCGGAGATTGTCACATGTCTTCGGAAATCCTGGGAAGTGTTCGGGTGATCTTCAGAAATCTTCAGAAGTGTTCGGGCGATCTTCGGAAATACTAAAGTGATCTTTGGAAATCTTCGGAGATGTTCGGGTGATATTCGGAAATCTTCGTAAGTGTTCGGGTGATCTTCAGAAATCTTTGGAATTGTTCGGGTGATCTTCGGAAACCTTCGGAAGTGTTTGGGAAATCTTCAGAAATCTTCGGGAGTGTTCGGGTGATCTTCAGAGATCTTCGGAAGGTTACGTGTGGCCTTCGATAATCTTCAGAAGGTTAATAGCTTAATTCATTGGCTGAGACAAACTGTCCTATTTTTTCCCAAATTGGACAGTTTCTGCATTTTTACTCAAGTCCTTATTGAAAACTGTCCAAATTAAATCCCAAATTGGGCAGTTGCCAGAAATTAAAGGATAATAGCTGTGCTTACAATACTGGATTAACTGACCGCTATATAATTAAAAGTGCAAAATGAAAATTTCTGTGCTGGTTAGGCTCAATATTCTGTCGCCGCTACAGCCTAGAGTCCCATCATTTTCCCGAGTAGCGGCTGGTGATCGAAGCGCATGTTGTGGAAAGTAGACAAGTTAATCGTGACTGATTAAAAATATGTCTGTCGCACTTGACCAGGTACTTCTGTCACTACTATCTGTATCGTTTCAGCTGGAAGATTTCGTCGCATTTTTAAGCTGTCATCGCAGGCATGAAAAATAACGTTTGAACTGACAGAGTGCATCAACATTGAATTTGCAGAAATTCGGAATTGGTAGATAACAGACCTCTTATCTCATTAACAATGATTCTTGAACGAGGAAAACAGTACAGTAACAATTATAGTTCTGGAGGCAAACATATTTTTAAGCGAGCCATGTGCAATATAAATCAGCAGAAATTAGATAAATAAACGACTTGCTGCTTCAATATTTCCGCATAAAAGCCAAAGACAAAGGGAAAAAACTTGTTTGACACCCGTTTTAAGTTGTTTGCTTGTCAAGTGAAATTGTTTGCCATTAAACTCATCACAAATAGATGAGCTTAGGAACTGGTGCCTGAAAGGTTAGCAGGGAGCAGAAGTGGAAGGGGAGGTATCCATGGCAACCCTGGAAGCGGGAACCACCCCCAAAGCAGCCGCTAACTGGCACCGTCACACTGAATGAATCAGTGGAAACAACTTACCTGACCCATACTTAC